GCCAAAATCTTATTTTCTGACGGGACCGAAGGTAGAGCGACTGCCTCCCTTCTGTTAGGTCGGTAGAGAGAGAGAGAGAGAAGAGAGAGAGAGAGATAGAGAGAGAGAGAGAGAGAGAGAGAGAGAGAGAGAGAGAGGGATAGAAAGAGAGAGGGAGAGAAAAAGATAGATAGGGGAGTAGAGAGAGAGACGAGAGATAGAGAGAGAGAGATAGAGAGAAGAGAGAGAAGAGAGAGAGAGAGAGAGAGAGAGAGAGAGAGAGAGAGGAGGATAGAAGAGAGAGAAAGAGAGAAAGAAGAGAGGAGAGAGAGAGATGATAGAGATAGGAGAGAGAGAGAGATAGAGAGAGAAGGAGAGAGAGAGATAGATAGAGAGAGAGAGATCAGAGAGATTAAAGAAAGAGACTAAAGGGCTTCAACACACAACATAAGAAAGTTATCTCCTAAGACATCCAACTGCCCAACATCTAGGAGGTGACCACCTAAAAGTTTACACAACTATGCCGAGGAAACCCAACTTGAAGTGACTAAAGAAGCGATATTGTATTTCTCTTTTATGTCTTACGCCTCGTTGAGGGGGATTTCGCTACTCTGCCTCTGAGCCAAGTCCTTAAGTGTCTAGGTAGGCTGCGATGCGTCTTCAGTATGTACAAGAGAGAGAGTGGGCACACGCTCGAGTATTTACATCTCGCCTTGAGAGTCCGTAGAACACCGTCTTACAGGATTCCCCAATATATATATTTACAAAGATCACATATAGTACAACATTAAATAAATGCAATGAATGTTTATTTTGTTAGTCTTCCTCTTTAGCCCCTCGATAAGAAACGTGACTGAATGAATCCTGTGTACATTACAGACATAAACGGCAAATCTTTGGCAAATTTATACAAACGTAGTTAAAATCTCGTGAAAAGTGAGGTCGTGGAGGAAATATTGTACAGACGTCCATGCTCGGCCCCGCCCCCACAACATGTTTACCACAAGAAACCCTGGGATTGGCTGATGACTTCCAGAACAGAGCTCGCAATTGGTAGACACTAGCCAACCCCGGGCAATCTCCCTGGGTCTTAGCTAGTCAGCCGAGACTTACTAGGGGTGTTGGGCGAGGCAGGAGGGAGCACAAACTAAGAGATATAAGATGCCGTGGCAACTTGAATAGCAATAATATAAGTTTAAGCAATACAAGGGGAGACTATATGGGTATAAAAGGCAGTTGAAGGACATGCTGAAGAATAAGACAAGGCAAGTCGGCGGTGGACTGGGGGTAAGACCTCGCACACGGCCCCGGGAGCCTTGGTGCTGAGGGTCAAGCCTTGGAACACGGCCTTCAACCCTTAGGTACTGAAGATTAGATCTTGAAACACGGCCTTGAATCCTTAGGTATTGAGGATTGAGCCTTGAAACAAATTCTTGAATCCCAAATATTTGTTAATAATGCCTTGAAAGTTAGCCTGGAATCCAAGATACTTTTTTTTTCCCCCTCTTCCACCCATTTAAGAATCCACAAGGAAACCTTAAGTTGACTGTTTACATTAACTGGACCTCCTTTCCAGCCACAGAAACAACTCATGTGGACACAAATGCACTTTGACAAAATATGTATATAAATGTTATAATTTCACCATATGTAGCCTATAGTTACTTCTTTCTTTACATGGTATCTTTAATGTAATGAAATCTTAAATCTAAACGTGACCTGATGCTAGTGAAGATTATTCTGGTGTAAATATGTCTCAGTACTGTGTAAACCAAGAACATGGGGGGGGGAGTATTTCCATCAACAATACTTTCTTCAAAGGCTTATGTAAACATTTTAACGTTGGTGAGGACGCTCTCAATAAGTGAAGAAGATGAGTATATGTAGAAAAGAATCTAATAATACGAGAGAGAGAGAGAGAGAGAGAGAGAGAGAGAGAGAGAGAGAGAGAGAGAGAGAGAGAGAGAGAGAGAGAGAGAGAGAGAGAGAGAGAGAGAGAGAGAGAGAGAGAGAGAGAGAGAGAGAGAGAATCTATATAATATTATATATACACAGCAAAGTTCAGGAAGATATAAAAATACGTTAAGTTAATAGCACCTTGTGCCTTAATCTCCTCGTGATTCACACTTGACGTCGGCAGAGATGTCCTGACGTCAGCAGAAAAAGCATAGAACGTACTCACAAACTAATAAGACTCCTCTCAAAAGTATATACCACGTACTCACATACAGCATTAAAGAGCTCTCTCAAAGTATATAAATTACTCACAAAATATTAAGAAGAACTCGTTCAATGCACGGAGAATGCTAAAGTATTTCAGAGGACTTTGAATGAACAAATAACTCACAAAAGTGGGAAGAGCTCTTGAAACGTGTGGAAAGTATTCTGACATGTATTTGGAGCTCTGTTAAGGCATACGAAATATTAACATATTATAATTGAAAAAAAAAACTTGAAGTATACTCTTTTCACAGAACGTTGAAATAATAATAATAAAAAAAGAGTTCTCACGTGTTACACTCAGTATTTACATTATTATTATAACTCTCTCAATAATAAGGAACTAACAGGAGAACGCAGAGCTCCCTCAAATTATATAAAGTATAGAAACTCTTATAGCGTTCTCAAAGTACATCGCGTTCTCACTTTGGTTCACGAAAAATATCTCAAACTATATCAACTTTGCTGAGTGGAACACAAACGGCTGGCAACGTCTTGTGTAATTACCAAGTAGAAAGTCTTACTTTAGTAGACGTTTCTCTTAGTAAGTCTAGAAAAAGCTCTTGCAGGAGAAACGACTTCAAGACAAAAGTCATAATCTCCACCTGACGTTCTTCAATATTACATATCTTATGCAAAAGACATTTTAATATAAATGATAAAAGCATTGAGAGGTATCTGGAAACATTTAAAGCATCAATGACTACCTCACAAGACATATATGACTGTCTCACAAGACATCAATGACTGTCTCACAAGACATCAATGAATGCCTCACAAGTCATCAGTGAATGCCTTAGAAGACGTCAATGACCTACTCACAAGACATCAATCAATAAGATGTCCTCACAAGATGTCTTCGACTGGTGACTCATCACAAAACGCCTTCCTACAGTATTCAATTATAAAGTCCTCAAAAGAACCAATCCTATTTATGGCAAAAATAATATTGATTGATCCTACAAGCAAATCACGCTGAACAACAGACAATAGAGCATTACGCAAAACAAACCTTAGCCAGCATAATGACCGAATTAAACATTCAGTTATCAATATGTCTTTACCCAAAACAAACTCATAAAAATATCATAAATTCTTTGGTTTAAATGAACAGAGGTGTACTTAAGTCGATACACTTTGCTTCTTTAAGATTTAAGAATCCGGAGGCGGAGAACCCAATGGGGGGGTAAGGAGAGGGGGGGGGAAGGGATCGGTGCCTCCCCCTTCTCGTACTTTGGGGAGACACAGCATACTCTCCGGGCAGGATACACCTGTTCAACTACACACCTACTGCACACACACACACACACCTGTCGGAACCTCGACCTCACCAGCCTTAAATATTTACCTCATTACAAAATCATTTTCCTAGAAAATAAAGTGATTAAAACACAAATATTTGAATTGAATGTCTTGAAGGCCAGGGGTCCCAATTCTTGTTTCAAACTAAGATAAACTAAGATAAGCGCCGGTGTTGTGAGGTGGGACTATTGAAGACCTACAGGTCACTAACTATATATATATATATATATATATATATATATATATATTATATATATATAATATATATTATATATTATAGTTCTACTGTGAAAAAGCTCTTTTATATCGATGGTGTCTAAGTGAACTAGTGAGATGCTTAACACACGATCACACCGCAGTTCCATTAATGTCTTCACATTAATGTCTTCAGATCGCTGGAACAGCTGCTGTAGAGCGGGTCCCGGTGACCCCAGCAGCCCCTGTGGTGTGTGTGTGTGTGGACAGTCAGCAGGGAGCGCCAAGGACGCTTGTCGGGTGGATGAAGTGTCTGGTCATGCTGACAGTCCCCAGGGAGCTGACAGCCGAGGAACTGACTAGCACTGAAGTAGCTGACACTAAGCTGGGGTGACATATTTCTATCGATACATTTTTCAGTGCATACCATAGCACCACCTCTGGACCAGCTTGGCCAAGTGCCGAATTGTGTGTCGACAACAACACGTCCATTTATCCTTTGTAGGCGTGCCAACCATTCCGTAGGCAGGTGTGCCAACCGTTCCGTAGGTAGGCAGGCGTGTCAACCATCCCGTAGGCAGGTGTGCCAACCATCCCGTAGGTAGGCGTGTCAACCATCCCGTAGGCAGGCGTGTCAACCATCCCGTAGGCAGGCGTGTCAACCATCCCATATACAGGTGTGCCAACCATTCCGTAGGCAGGCGTGCCACCCATCCCGTAGGCAGGCGTGCCAACCATCCTGGCGGCTGCATTAACATATATCACCAACTGGTATAGTTCTGTCGGTATCCAATGGAAATACACAGACCAAAATACATTTTCCAGTCACTTTGTGAGACGTGAACCGACATCAAAGTTAAAATATTTATGTTTTGGTACTGAACTTTTGACAACTATAGTAAAGTATATTCTTCCAAAATTCGTGCAATTTCTGTTTATTAAGTATAATCGGTTATCACATGCAGTCACCAACTTGAACATATTTCTAGTATGGCGCATACCTCTACAAGAGTTCCTTCTGCCCTAAAGGATTATTTTCACTCCATTAGATTTTCAGTATCAGTATGGCTCAATCACACTATTTGATTTTTAGTCATAGTCACTCTTATTAATTGATTTTCTCGCAGAAAACGGACGTGTTTGACTGACTGTCTTTCCACCTAGGCGTCCCATATATATATGTGTGTGTGTGTGTGTGTGTGTGTGTGTGTGTGGGTGTGTGTGTGTGTATTTGTATGTATATATATATATATATATATATATAATATATATATATATTATATATATTAATATATATATATATATATATATATATATATATAATATATATATATACCCTACAACACGTCTTAAAACCTTTTAGGGGGAAGTTTATATAAATTAGCTGACAATTCTATTCAATTCGAGAATCAAATAAAAAGACATTGTGTTTTCGAAGGTCTTAGACAGAGAGGCTGGCACCTGTCTGTGGCTCGTGGCAGCCTCGGGAGGGGACAGTGACGGCGGCCGTCACAGTGTGTGTGGTGTAGCGACACCCAACACCACCAGCCGGCCACCACGCTCTCGTCACCCGGCAACAAGAGAGGACGATTCTGTCAGAGGCTCTTGCTCCTTGCTCTCACTCTCTTCTGAGCAGAGTCAAAAATAATAATTAAACCCGGACGAAATGATCAAAGTCTACAAGCACATCCACTTATATTCCCTTCGCTCTCTCGCCACTCTTCCTTTTGAAGAAGTCCCAAACAAGAGGCACAACTGTTCTTTCCTTGCACAGCTGTCACGAAGAGCAACAGCTGCAGAAACGCACACATTTCTCGCAGCTGTCTGAACAGTTGCAACAAGGAAAATCACAAATATTTCTCGTCCTTGCACAGCTGCAGAGACGGCTAGCCAGAGGCAGCACCACAGGAAGGAGCAGAGAGACGGGGGACTGAGCCTAGCAAAGCCCCTTCCACCATTTGCGGCACCTATGTGACCTCCTCCGAGTCTTGGAGTTCCGTCTAGTCCTTTTGGTGTCCTTGAAGAAGCGGACGTTGGTGGGGTCGTCGAGGAGCGCCGGGTAGGTCTCTGGAGGGTGGAGGTAGCGGGCGGTGTAGCTGCTGACGGCGCCTCTCGACAGTAGTTCTTCCGTCTCGCTAGAGGACCACTCCACCGTCCCAGGAAGGCCAGAAGAGAGACGGTCTCGTTCCTCGGCCCAAGCACGTCGGATGGCCACCTAGGGAAGACGGCAGAGATGAACGAGTCAGGTACGAATGGAATGTAAACATTGAGCGGCCTTGTATTCAATCAGGGAAGGGGGAGGGAAAGAAAGAGAGAGAGAGAGAGAGAGAGAGAGAGAGAGAGAGAGAGAGAGAGAGAGAGAGAGAGAGAGAGAGAGAGAGAGAGAGAGAGAGAGAGAGAGAGAGAGAGAGAATGAATCACTCAAAAAGACCAACCTTTCAAGATGATAAAATGATGATATATTACATAATTACATCAAAATCACTTGATGTCAGAGAACATCAAAGGGCGAGAGTTAGCCCGCATCTCTGGCCCCCTCGGACACACGCACCACCCACTGTACCATGATGGGCCTAAAGTATATCAGCCAGAAGGTGTAGTACTGGACTTATTCAAGAGTGTGGAGAGCACCAGCTCCACCACCCGTACATCCACCCATGTTATTTCCTTCTCATACAATATTATTGCCCAGACCGAAAGTTGGGATACGGAAATACAAAAGTAATCAGAGGTCCAAATTAATGTGGTCTGAACTCACTTTACGTTCCCTACTTTCACCACGGTCGCTCACTTTCACCCCAGACACTCACCATCACCCCAGACACTCACCATCACCTCAATCACTCACCATCACCCCAGCCACCCACCTTCTTAGCATGCCTGAGGAGCCTCTTCTTCTCCTGCAGGGATGGTGGGTGCGGAGCGTGATGTGAACGGCGGAGCGCGGGTGCAGAGCGCTGTGCAGCTTCACAGCCCATCGGAACCGTCGTCGGAGCTCGAGAGGCGGAGGCGAGGAGTCAGTCGTGGATGGGAGGAGGCGGGAGGCGGAGGAGGCGGAGGTGCGTGGGATGGTGATGTTCACCTCCCCTCCAAGACGGTTGAGCTGGGTCATGTCCTCCGAGGCTTTCCAATAGTTCTCCTGTTAGAGTAAGGGAAAAGGGGGGGGGAGGGGAGAGGGGTGAGAGAGGGGCTCAGAGGGGTGGCTGTGTGTGTGGGGGGACGGGGGAGCGAGGCCCCCCCCCGGTCTTTTGCGTATGATTCGCGTATAATATTTGTGTCTTATATGTGTATAAGATTATAGAAATTCTTTTTAATACAATCAAGTAGCAGTGACAAAAAATAGTACCATAATTAACTTAAAATATTACTAACCCGCAAACCTCAATCTCTCTCTCTCTCTCTCTCTCTCCCTCCCTCTCCCTCCTCCCTCCCTCCCTCCCTCCCTCCCTCCCTCCCTCCTCCCTCTCTCTCTCTCTATCTCTCTACTCTCTTCTCTCTCTCTCTTCTCTCTCTCTCTCACTCTCTCTCTCTCTCTATCTCTCTCTCTCTCTCTCTCTCTCTGCTCCCCTTCCCACCCTACACAGGTATGGAACCTGCAGATTTCGCAGTAATTAAGGCGATTACTTTCAATGGGACGGCGATCAAGGCTGAGGATTTCTGAAAATGGCAGCAATATTGGGGTGAGGATTTCTCTCTTGAGGATTTCAGCGGTCGAGGAGATTACGAAGAGAGGATTTTTCCTGGCCAGGAATGGTTTTCATATTGGTGAATGTTGTTCCTAGGTGAGTGGTTTTCCCAGGTGAGTACTGTTCCCAGGCGAGTGAGGAGGTAGAGAGGGTTGAAGGGGGTTCAGATATGGAAGGCGTGTTTTCGAGCACCTGAGAGCCTCAGGAACTGCGTCTACGTGAGTGAACAATATTGTGGGATAAAGTAATAAAGGAGGCTAGTTGGGTAATGGGGAAAATTGATTCTTATAGAACAAATTAAATGTTGCTTCAAATCACTCAAATGTCCCTTCATAGCACCACGGGTCCCCTCAGATGGACCAGGTGTCCCCTCATATGGGCAGGTGTTCCCTCAGATGTGTGTAGAAAGACGACTTAACGAAGTGGTCTCTTAGTGTGAATGAAGGGGTGACTGTTTTCAGGTTAGAAAATAGGAAGAATCAATTTTATGCAATGTGACACAAAGGTGGAACTCTTAATGCGGCGAAAATGTCAAATTGTTTGTTGGGTGGACGTGTGCGACTGTTGAGTGGAAAGTTTGGAGTTATGACACAGGTTTAAGGATTACCTACAACGTTACCTTGACCGTTCAAAGAGGAATTAACGCACCTTTGAAATGGGCCCTCTACTCTGACCAATAGTGTAAGCTATAGACTCTCTCTCTCTCATCTGCTATCTCCTCGATGTGCTATATGACTCTCTCTCTCTCATTTTATCTCCTCTGTGATGCTGTTTCTCATTTCTGTCTGTCTGTCTGTTTTGTCACTCATATCTCATTGGTAGAGATCTCTTGAGGGTCATCCTCCTGTTCTTCCCAAGCGGCATGAGGACTTAGCGTCCTCCTCATTAAACTCTCCACAGGGATGAGGAGACTCCTCCCTCCTACCCCCCCATGCTCTCACTGGCAAGATTAATGACCTCATTTGTTTTGGAATGTAATGCTCACTGAGTGAGTCTCTCTCCTCCTGTTTCCCCCCCCCCTCTCTCTCTCTCTCTCTCTCTCTCTCTCAGTGAGTCTTCCTTTCTCTTACTGAATAACAACATGAATTTTGCACCTTCACAAGCGGTAGGCTCAACTACCTGACCATACAAATGCAGTTTCTTGACAAGGTACTACTTAAGGGAGGCCTCAAGAAGAAGGTCTTGTCTGAAGAAGAAGTGCCTCCGCCCACCAAAAAAAAAAAAAAATAACTAACCACACCACCTTGCAAGTAGAACCGGCGCACTCACTGACCACCACACACACACACACACACACCCCACACACACACACAAAACACACATATATATATATATATATATATATATATATATATATATATATATATATATTTATATATTTATATATTTTTTATATTTTTATTTATATATTATATATTATATATTTATATTTTATATAAAAAAAATATATATATATATATATATATATATATATATATATATATATATAGTATATATATATATATATATATATATATATATAGATACAGTACCAACCTTGACAAAGTAAAAGACATGGTTGTTGTGGGTGGTAAGGGTGATGTCGAGAGAGGAGGGAGTTGTTGAAGACAGAGGTGAGGACGTTCTCTGAAGATGGGGTTGGCCTGGTCCGTGGCTGTCACCATGGCCCGACCCTCCACGCACGACACCAGCAGCCCCTCACCAAAGGGACCAGGCACGGCGGAGATCTCTACCTGCAGGAGGAGGAGGAGACCAGCGTGTTGAAGGTCCTCGCTTTTGTACAGGCGCCTGCTGGCGGAAGCTGATCACCTTATACATTAAGACTACGAATTTAGCAGATTTGCATAACTAATCAAGAATGCGTTTCACACTAAATGAGCTGTTTACTTGCATCAACTTGTGGAAAAATGGTCAAAATTCATTGATCGAGTTTGGCTTGAAGGAATATATTTCATATTTCTGCCACCAGGCAACATGCTGGTAACTGAGGGCTGCGACCCGCTGACTGACCCGCCTTAGTCGGGTGACGCCGCCATACCTTGTGACGGTGCGGCCAGAAGTCGTGTCGCAGTCGTGTGGGCGTGAGGGTGGAGAGTCGAGCGGTGGTATGGGCGGCCTCCTCCAGCGTCAGCACCAGACCACTCACACAGCCCACACCCACCACCTGCAGCAGAAGGGAACAACGAACAAAGATTAAATACATCAGCTCAATTTGCGGGGATTATGAAGTCATATCCGCCTGACTCTTGATATCTCTCCCTAGCCTCAATACGGGATATGGCGCGTACAGAAAGAGCTTCCAGAGTCTTAGTGTGGTGCGTACTCTACGATAGTGAAGGGAGATGGGTATCGTACCTGGTCAGAGAATGGGGATGCTGCAGCCCGCATGGGGAAGATGGGGGCGCGGGTGAAGGCCTGCCACAGGGACGGGGGAGGGCGTGGACTGCTGCTCGCCCACGCCATCTGAGGGGCCAGGCTCTCCAAGTTGTATCCGAGCCGCGCCAGCCACGCCTTGTAATCTGCTCAACAGGAATGCGACAACGGCGTTAAACAGGACCACCACCCCCCGCGCCGTCGCCCAAGACAACGGTAATACTATATTGCCAACAGATGTAATATACACTGGACATACACTAAAAGGTTTATTTAACGACATATGCTGTGTACAATGTAAGCATACTCGCCAAGTGTTGCTTATAGGACAGAGGAAACATGATTACGACATTCATAATAGATATGCTAACATATGGATATGTTCTTCACCATTCACTTTATGGTGAGGAAGTCACCGTACGTCACTTCACGGTGAGAAAGTCAATGTACTGTGAGGAAGCCAATGTACGGCGAGGAAGTCAATGTACGGCGAGGAAGTCAATGTACGGCGAGGAAGTCAATGTACGGTGAGGAAGTCAATGTACAGTGAGGAAGTCAATGTACGGCGAGGAAGTCAATGTACGGCGAGGAAGTCAATGTACGGTGAGGAAGTCAATGTACGGTGAGGAAGTCAATGTACAGTGAGGAAGTCAATGTACGGCGAGGAAGTCAATGTACAGTGAGGAAGTCAATGTACAGTGAAGAAGGCAATGTACGTCGAGGAAGTCAATGTACAGTGAGGAAGTCAGTGTACGGCTAGGAAGTCAATGTACGGCGAGGAAGTCAACGTACAGTGAGGAAGTCAATGTACAGTGAGGAAGGCAATGTACGGCGAGGAAGTCAATGTACGGCGAGGAAGTCAATGTACGGTGAGGAAGTCAATGTACGGCGAGGAAGTCAATGTACAGTGAGGAAGTCACTTCACGGCGAGCTGCAGAAACTAATTAAAAACACCTGCCGTAGCTCATCCGGCGGGTGAGGGGGGACCTACCATAGTTCTTCCAGTGGGTGAGGTGGACGTTGATGGGGTCGTTGCCGTTGAAGCGGTAGAGGGAGAGCTTGGCGGGGGTGAGAATGTTGTCAAGAACGTCTTCCCACGCCGGCGAGAGCCATTGACCTGGTCACACACACACACACACAAAAATAACAGCGGTAGGTTAGACAAGGACAACATTATATATAGGATCACTATAATACGTCTGAATGACAGGACCCCCCTATAAGACGTCTAAATGACAGGACTCCTATAATACGTCTGATTGACAGGACCACTAGTTTAACCGATCGGATTCTTGGAAGATTGATGGGTAAATCTTAATGGCCCAACTGACTGGTTTGTGAAGGGGAACTGGAAATATCACGAGAGTAGGAAGGGGAAAAGAAGCAAGAGGAAACGTAGAAGTGTGAAAGAAAGAGGAAGGAGTCGGCATAAAGAACGTGGATATAGATGGAAGAGCATGAGAAGGAAGAGTGAGACAAGATGAAGGAAGAGATATGGCTCACGGAAATCGTGCGAGATGGGAGGAAAGATGGAGGAAGAGAGAAGGGGGGGAAAGCTGAGAGGGAAGGAAGCTCAATTCCTGACATGATATATCGCGCCTCTGGTGATGAATTTGTTGATAAAGAGAGGGGCAAAAGGGCGGGAGGCGCTTATTGGTGTTTCTTGTTATGAAATATGAGGTCACTTAAGGCTTGGAGAGAGTAGGATAGAGACAGTGAAAGAGAGAGAGAAGCAGAGGACAAAAAATAGTGACGGGGGCATAGAGACGACCTCCTGCGAGGTATATATATACCTCCAGCCGAAGGCCCTTCTTACCTATGAGAGGGTCGTAGATGCGCCCTCGGGACATGTGGACGAGTTCGGTGCGCGTCTCGAGGAGGCCGCCGCAGTAGTCGACGGGGAGGTAGAGGTAAGGGTTGGAGTCGTACATGATGTGGCCGTAGGGCGAGCGCATCATCTCGCGGACCACCTCGCCGTACTGGTTGAACACCATCACCGGCGTCCCGCACTCGTCCGTCGCGATGTAGTACTTGTTCCGGTACACCTGAGGCACCACCAGGCAGCACGGCGGCTTGTCAATTACTCATCACTCACCCCCCTCCTCACACAATACTCATGTCTTTCACTCTGCCAGTCATAACATTGATCATTTTTACTCTGCCAGTCACAACACTGACCACTTTCACTCTGCCAGTCACAGCACTGATCACTTTCACTCTGCCAATCACAGCACTGATCACTTTCACTCTGCCAATTACAGCACTGATCACTTTCACTCTGCCAATCACAGCACTGATCACTTTCACTCAGCCAATCACAACACTGCTTTCACTCTACCAATCACAACACAGCTTTCATTCACAGTACCTATGAGGATTTCAAGGTGCAAAATACAGAAAGAAACAGGAATGAGGTTGGGAAAACATGGCTTAGATTCTAAGTGTACAGTTTCACTAAAACATGCAGTCTTCAGAAGCAAGAAAAGGAATGCTATGATTAAGCATTCATAGTTAGGACGGGCTGAATTTTGTATTTCATAAGGAGCTGGACAGCCGTCTTGACCACACCAGACTTCAGCAGACTGATCAACCACCCAGCGGGAAGAATATCCAAGAGTGGCGTTGGTTCGACTTTACATCACCGTTGATTCGACGTTGCTCTTGGAGACTCTGCCCACTGGGTAGTGTGTGTGTTGGTTTGAGAGGGTGAATGTCATTTACCGTTGGGTGGAAAGAAAATATACAAGAAAAACGAGTGATATCTGACCTGCGCAAAGATGATGTGGCCGCGGTCGTCATATACCAGCGTGATGAGGTTACCATCACGAGGACTGTATATATGAGTCACTTGGTCCGGGTGCCGCTGATCTGTGTACAAGAACTGCGTCACATTGCCGAAGTTGTCCTTCCTAGCCACCAGGCGGTCTTCGTGGTCGTACAGGTACCTGATGTTGAAGCGACCGGACTTCGCCGCCCGCACCAGCAAGCCGCGAGCGTTATAGTGATACGTGACTTCGCGCGCATTCTGCACGATGGCGCCGCGAGAGTCGTAGCGGTAGACGCCCTCGCCGAACTTGACGATGCGGTCTTGCGAGTCGTACTTCATGGGAATGGTGTTAGTGGAGTAAGTGAGGGAGAGCATGTTGCCGTTAGCATCGTAGGAGAAGCTCCACGGCTCCTTGGCCTCCACACTGATGAGCTGGCCATCAGCGTCATAGGTGTAGTTGCGGGTGTTGGTGTAGGGCTTGCTGTGGTAGTTACGAGTGAAGGTCTTGGTTTGGGTAATTTTGCCGTCGGGATTGTAGAATATCTGCATCTTAAAGACCTCCATGTTATGGATGGTCACTGCAGACTGAGCAGCGTGCAGATGGGAGTTCAGCTGGCGGGAGAAGATAGCAGTGCCGTCCTGAAAGGTAGTTTCGTTCAACTTGGTCCTAGTTACAGTGAAGTGACCGATCTGTGAGGGTCCGCCCGTAGACGGGTTGTAGGCTAATGGGAAGGGCAGCAAGTTCTGGCCGCCGATACGCCCCGCAAAGTTCGTCACCCGGAAGTTGGAATCGTGTTCGTAGGTGAACTTGACGTTGCTGAGGCCGGTTCTGGCGCCATAGTCGATGCGGTGTTCCTGCAGGAGCCGTCCAGTGTACAGCAAGTCCATTCTATACTCCAAGTCCAATTCCTCGTGCATGATCTCCGACAGGAGGCCGTCACTACCGTAGGAAAACTCGGTTTTCCCGTCGCCGGACACGATCTCCCTCAGTTGTCCGGACTCAGTGTAGGTGTAGAGGACCTTAGCGGAGGCTGCTGGGAAGGCGGTGAGCATGAGGCGTCCGGCGTGGTCGAGGTACTGCTTGTAGGAGTGCGTCGACCCGGGCGGAGTGTAGGAGAACACGAACCACCCGAAGGACGGCTGCATGGAGAAGAAGTGGGCGGATCCCGTGGGGGTGGTGACGTACTTGAGGCCTCCGCGCTCGTCGTAGTGAAGCCTCCAGGAGCGGCCAGAGGGCAGCGTCATGGTCGCCGGCTGCGGGAAAGACAAGAGAACGGCGTCAGCACCACACACGTCCTGCTGCTGCTGCTGCTGCTGCTGCTGGCACGCTCACACCTCAACCTCTCACAGCATGCAAAAATCAGCACGGAGAAGCACAGTCAAATATATCATCCTTTGTATCCAATCACTCAAAACCCCCACCCCCCCACTTCCCTTGCATCCATCCACCCTCACCCACCACAGGCATCCGTCCACCCCCACCCACCCCAGTCATCCATCCACCCCCACCCACCACAGGCATCCGTCGTCAATGGGCATAATTCCCGAACCAAGACTCCCCCACCCCGAGTCACGGAGGGCGCCACTCACCAGTCTGGTCTCGCCGAAGGTGTAGCTGGTGGTGTGGGCGGTGTGGGAGGAGACGGTGGACAGGAGGCCCTGGGCGTCGTACTCGTAGCTCTCACTCGACCAGTCCCACTGCCGCGCCTCCGTCCTCCCGAACCTGCGCTCGCCGAGGATTACATGAACTCAATACAGGTCAATAAGGGGGTCATGTGAGCTCAATACAGGTTAACAAGGGGTCATGTGAGCTCAATACAGGTCAACAAGGGGTCATATGAGCTCAATACCAGTCAACAAGAGGTCATATGAGCTCAATACAGGTTAACAAGGGGTCATGTGAGCTCAATACCGGTCAAGCAAGGGGTCATGTGAGCTCAATACAGGTCAACAAGGGATCATGTGAGCTCAATACCAGGTCAACAAAGGGGTCAGATGAACTCATTACAGGTCAACAAGGGCAGGTGGAGAGAACAATACGGGATATAAGGGTCATTATAGGTCACACAGGTCATAAAACGCCACGAGGGGGTCACAATAGGTCACGAGGGGGGTCACAAAAGGTCATAGAGAGTTGACAACAAACAGTATAATGTGTCAATGAGATGCATTAAAAAAAACCTAATGAATAATGCCCTTTTGATGCCAGCAAATCACCAGAACAATAATAATAATATTCAACTAGATTTACAACATGTATCACGAGATCACTGAAAGATATAGTGATCTGAAAGATATGGTGATCTGAAAGATATGGTGATCTGAAAGATATGGTGATCTGAAAGATATGGTGATCTGAAAGATATAGTGATCTGAAAGATATAGTGATCTGAAAGATATAGTGATCTGAAAGATCACTATATCCAGGATGCCAAACACAATTTTAACTCCCCCTCCCCCTTCCTCTATCCCTGATAACATAATCCTAGCTATATCTATGATAACATAATCTTAGGATTTGGATTATCAAATCCAACATCTATTATCATAGATGTTACCATCTGTGATGATATCATAATTCTAGCCACAGCCACAATGATAACACATTGCTAGCATATCCAGGATAACATAATGCAGGTCATATCTAGGATATAACAGCATAATCCTAGCTGTAGCCAGAATGATCACAAAATTCTAGCCATTTAAAAATAACATATTTCTAGCCACATTAAATATAAAATATAATAACGTTCAATACAATATTATAATGAGACAAAAACGTTGAATGAACAAATCACAGAAATCTACAGGGGAAAAAAATATACGGGAAAAAAAAGAAAAAGAAAAACTGGAATGAAACCCGAGTTTTTTCCCCCGCTTCTCGAGTGTGTTTACTATTTGTGTCTGCAGAATCGAGCTATTAGCTCTTGGACCCCGCCTTTCTAGCCAATCTATTTTCTCTCTATTTTGGCTACTACATATATTTCTCTCTAACACACACACACACACACACACATATTCCCAGGAAGCAGGCCGTAGCAGCTGTCTAACTCCCAGGTACCTATTTACCTCTAGGTGAACAGAGGGCTTCAGGGTAAAAGAAACCTTGCCCATTTGTGTCCGGTTCCGCCGGGGATCGAACCTGGGGGCCATTAGGACTACGAATCCCGAGCGCTGTCCACTCAGCCGCGAGGCCACCTCCCCCCCCCACCGTGTGTGTGTGTGTGTGTAGGATGGAGCTATTAGCTAGTGAACCACACTGGTTGTTTATCTCTGTCATGATCTACTTTCTTTCTTCATTCAAGAAACTTTTCTCACCACTCTCCTCTCACCTATTTCCTAAACTCCCTCCTCTCGTACCGGAAACAAGCCGCACTTATCTTTCAATAGTTTTTACCTGCAAATGTGGTCAGTGGGCATCTCTCTCTCTCTCTCTCTCTCTCTCTCTCTCTCTCTCTCTCTCTCTCTCTCTCTCTCTCTCTCTCTCTCTGTAAAATAAAGGTCCAGCTTCTAATCCCCGGAAAAAAGGTTCTTTTTCCCAATGACTTCCTGCTCTCATCAGTGTGTTTGGCTCCCTTCCTAATCCCTCACTCAGTCACCCTAACACCAATCTTTACCTGTCCTCTGTTTCCTAGTTCACTAATCCCCCAAATCCTCCTAATTCCTCCTTCTTTATATTTCTCTCTCACTCCTCTCCTTCTCCTCCTCCCTACCCTTTCCCCTTCTCCTCCTCCCTACCCTTTCCCTCCCTCCCCTCCTCTCTCCAGTTATGTCCTTCCCTTCGCGACCCCTTCCCCCCTACCATCTTCCCCTTACCATTTTCCCCCCACCATCTTCCCTGCCACACCCCTTCTATATCCCCGCCCCCCCTCGTTTTCATGGTTCCAGTCACCAATACGTTATTAAATAGGCAGGACCGACAGACCGGGGCTCTAAGTTTAGCAATTAGCCACAAGTTTGGCAGGTACAGAAGGAGGGACGAGGAGGGGGGTGAGGAGGGGGAGAAGTGACGTAAGAGACTGAAAATAGTTGTGAATGAGGATTTATAGTGGGGGATGGAGTGTGGTGAGGGAGGGCAGGAAGTGTGGCGAGGGAGGGCAGGAAGTGTGGCGAGGGAGGGGCAGGAAGTATGGTGAAGGAGGGCACGAAGTATGGTGAAGGAGGGCAGGAAGTGTGGTGAAGGAGGGCAGGAAGTGTGGTGAGGGAGGGCAGGAAGTGTGGCGAGGGAGGGCAGGAAGTGTGGCGAGGGAGGGCAGGAAGTATGGTGAAGGAGGGCATTAAGTGTGGTGAGGGAGGGCGGGAAGTGTTGGCATGCCTGGTCTTTACCCCACCAAGACACACCATCCCAGGCAACATCCTTGTTGCCATCCAATGTGCAAGAGAGACTTTAGCATAGAGAGTTTCAGAACTCTGACTTGAACCTGTCTGTCTCTCACTATACTGCAGCTAATGGATCATTAATCACCACACACACACACACACACACACACACACACACACACACACACACACACACACACACACACACAAAGTTCCAGACATAAAACATTCGCCCACATCCTGATCAAGTTGCGACCAATTTCCTGAAGTGGAAATAGCCATGACTTATCTCCGGCCTGAGTCCCAAGAGCCCTGCTTACAGCTACACTGCTCGCTTCTTGAGGTTATTAACTTAAGCTTTGCCACCACCCACACCGACAGCTCTCTCTACACCCACACCAACAGCTCTCGCTACACCCACGCACCCACACTGACAGCCCCAGTACGCCCACACTGACAGCCCCCGCCACACCCACACTAACAGCTTACAGGTAATTCAGCTTCTGTTACTTAGCTGTGCAAGGCTGCCTCTGACCTCATTCCGACTGAGAGGGATGAAGGGGGAATCAAAATCATTATATAGGTGACCTAGGGGGACAACTATGACCTATGATGAGGTAAGTATGACCTATGATGAAGGGCGTAGGTGTATTCCGTGACCTTGGACTAGAGGGGAGGTGAGGGGTGACCTCCGGTGAGTGACCCTAGGCTAAAGGGTGACCTCCGGTGGGTGACCTGGGCCTCGGGGCGACCCCAGGATGAGCAGGTACTCACCGGTCGTAGGTAACATTGAGGGAAGAGAGGTGGTCGCCCAGGGTGAGGGAGGTCGGGTGGCCGTTGTGGTCGTACGTCAGACGAAGGAGCGGCTGGCTGGCTCCGTCCGTCAGCGACTCCATGCGGCTGGTCCCGTCCCAAGCCCGCCGCAGCACCCGCGACCCGTTCACCTGCGGCACAACGACAACAATAACGCGGTCACTATAGTTATACCCGTCTGCAAAAGACTCATGTAAAAATACATGAGTCACTTGTACAGGAAAGGGTGTAGGAGGGGGGGGGGGGAGATGGTGTGTGTACTCACCTAGTGTGGTCTCACCTAGTTGTGGGTGCTGGGAGAAGGGAGGAGGGGGGGTTGAGCTCTGGCTCTTTGGTCCCGACTCTCAACTGTCAATCTACTGGTGTACAAATTCCCGAGCCAGTTCCCTCCTCTTAGTCCCTTGGTCCTCCTACCCTCCTCTGAGTCCCTCTTAAAGTGGAACAGTCTCAACCACTGACCAGGAGAACAGTCTCCACCACTCAGCAGGAGAACAGTCTCCACCACTCACCAAGAGAACAGTCTCCACCACTCACCCTGAGAACAGTCTCCACCACTCACCAGGAGAACAGTCTCCACCATTCACCAGGAGAACAGTCTCCACCACTTACCAGAACAGTCTCCACCACTCACCAAGAGAACAGTCTCCACCACTCACCAGGAGAACAGTCTCCACCACTCACTAGGAGAACAGTCTCCACCACTCACTAGGAGAACAGTCTCCACCACTCACCAGGAGAACAGTCTCCCCCACCCATCAAGAGAACAGTCTCCACCACTCAGCAGGAGAACAGTCTCCACCACTCACCAGGAGAACAGTCTCCCCCACCCATCAAGAGAACAGTCTCCACCACTCAGCAGGAGAACAGTCTCCACCACTCACCATGAGAACAGTCTCCACCACTCACCAGGAGAACAGTCTCCACCACTCGCTCGTTCCTGCGGCGATCTCCCACACCGTAGCTAATGGTGAGAGCGTTGGGCGGCCCAGGCGCCATGGCCACCTCGTAGCGATGTATCGCGGGCAGGAGGCTGGCCTGGGTAGGCAGGGACACCTCCAACAGGGGCGAGGAGGCGGAGGCGAGGCCCCTGGCGTACCCTCCCCACGGCAGGTCCTGGCGCCAGGTCCCATTAGACCACACCCGCAGCTCTGACCTCACCGCTCCTGGGGGAGGAGGACACGGAAACAAAAGGTTATAGTATCAAAACATATATTTGTAATATTTGTGAACTTATAAACATCTATATGTGTGTGTGAGTGAACCCCACACCTGCTACTGTATCACCCACACCTGCTACTGTATCACCCACACCTGCTACTGTATCATCCACACCTGCTACTGTATCACCCACACCTGCTACTGTATCACCCACACCTGCTACTGTATCACCCACAACTGCTACTGTATCACCCACACCTGCTACTGTATCACCCACACCTGCTACTGTATCACCCACACCTGCTACTGTATCACCCACACCTGCTACTGTATCACCCACACCTGCTACTGTATCACCCACACCTGCTACTGTATCACCCACACCTGCTACTGTATCACCCACACCTGCTACTGTATCACCCACAACTGCTACTGTATCACCCACACCTGCTACTGTATCACCCACAACTGCTACTGTATCACCCACACCTGCTACTGTATCACCCACAACTGCTACTGTATCATCCACACACCTGCTACTGTATCACCCACACCTGCTACTGTATCACCCACACCTGCTACTGTATCATCCACACACCTGCTACTGTATCACCCACACCTGCTACTGTATCACCCACACCTGCTACTGTATCACCCACACCTGCTACTGTATCACCCACAACTGCTACTGTATCATCCACACACCTGCTACTGTATCACCCACACCTGCTACTGTATCACCCACAACTGCTACTGTATCATCCACACACCTGCTACTGTATCACCCACACCTGCTACTGTATCACCCACACCTGCTACTGTATCACCCACACCTGCTACTGTATCACCCACACCTGCTACTGTATCACCCACAACTGCTACGGTATCATCCACACACCTGCTACTGTATCACCCACACCTGCTACTGTATCACCCACACCTGCTACTGTATCACCCACACCTGCTACTGTATCACCCACACACCTGCTACTGTATCACCCACAACTGCTACTGTATCACCCACACCTGCTACTGTATCACCCACACACCTGATACTGTATCACCCACACCTGCTACTGTATCACCCACACCTGCTACTGTATCACCAACACACCTGCTACTGTATCACCCACACGTGCTACTGTATCACCAACACACCTGCTACTGTATCACCAACACACCTGCTACTGTATCACCCACACCTGCTACTGTATCACCCACACCTGGTTTTGTAATATCCGTCCCTGACCTTACAGAAGCCCTGCAACCCACACATGCCCTTGCAACATCCCCCCCCTCACCCCCCCACCCCCCCTTGACCCCTGCAGATCCTCCCCCCCCTCCCCCCTGATCCTGAACCACGAACCACCACACACCGATCCTATACATAACCAGAACAAAAATCCCACCTCCTATAACCCCCAAAAATCCATGATTGGACAAGATTCGATAATTAACTTGGAAATTAAAGTCTTGGTATTTTTGCTGGAGGTCGACATACCTTACGCGGCTCCCTAATTACAAGGTTCTAATCGCTTAATAAAAAAAAATAGCAGATTGGAGATTAATCAGGCATACTATCATTTCTGGATAAAAAAATTGGGATTAGCCAGTCAGGTTTGGAAACAGTGTTTATCCCTCTCTATGGATGTGGTATCAACCAGGTGATTGGCTGGTGTTAGGAGAGTGTATTTTGTCTTTCTATTGATCTAGTGACCTGTTGTGTCCGTTAGCATGTCTCGTGTTAATTATTATTAATAAGAATTGTTGAGCCGGGAAGTTCTAATGAGGAGATTTAGAACTTAGAACTCCACCCCCTCTCTCTATCCCTCGCTCTCTCGTCTCTCTCTCTCTCTCTCTCTCTCTCTCTCTCTCTCTCTCTCTCTCTCTCTCTCTCTCTCTCTCTCTCTCGCGGCCGAGTAGGCATCGTTCAGCGGTCGAAGTCCTAAGGGCCCGGATTTGATCCCAGGCAAGGCAGACACAAATTGGGCAGAGTTTCATTCACCCTGGAGCTCCTGTTTACCTAGCAGTAAATAGGTACCTGGGAGTTTGACAGCTGTTACGGACTGCTTCCTGGGTTTGTGTGAGATAGAGGTGTGTGTGTGTGTGGTGTGTGTGTGTGTGTGTGTGTGTGTGTGTGTGTTGTGTGTGTGTGTGTGTGTGTGTGGTGTGTGTGTGTGTGTGTGTGGAAAAAAAAATAGTTAGTAGTTAGCAAAAGTTGATTGACAGTCGAGAGACGGGCCGAAAGAGCAGAGCTCAACCCTCGCAGCCACAACTAGGCGAATACAAACACCACCACACACACACACAACACACACACACACACACACACACACACACACACACACACACACACACACACACACACACACACACACAGAGTGCACCTTCCGTACCTCTAATTGCCCTTTAATGCTTAACCTCCGGCTAAATGCTCCCTTTCCCTTGGGGTAATCCCCTCACCCTCCCTCCCTCCCTCTTTTCCCCCCCCTACTTTCCCTTTCCATACACACACACACACACACACACCCACTCTCCCCTCCTCCTCTGCAATCCCTACCACCTTTACCCTCTCGATAATACCTTTTCCCCCACCCTTAATAATACCACCTTTTCCCTCTCACACACTCTTCTCCCCTCCCTGTACCATTACCATCACTGGTCAGCCTTGAACCCCCACAACCGGTCTTACAAGCGCAGGTGTGTGTGGTCGATCACCATGGACCCCCACCACTGGCGGAGCCCCAGACGGCAACATTGTTCGCGTGAGAAATATTCAACGTTTGACAGAAGAGCAAAAATTTCAATTTAGCAATTAGGTCGCCTACCGGTAATGCTGAGGCTTAGGATGGAAGGGGAGGGAGGGAGAGAGAGAGAGAGAGAGAGAGAGAGAGAGAGAGAGAGAGAGAGAGAGAGAGAGAGAGAGAGAGAGAGAGAGAGAGAGAGAGAGAGAGAGAGAGAGAGAGAGAGATGGGTGGGGGGAGGACAAGAAGGGAGAGAAGGCCAGGGGATGGGGAAGTGAGAGGGAAAAGAGAGAGAATATGCAGAAAGAGGATGCGATTAGTGGAAGGGAGTGATGATATACTGATGAATCGCTATTGTCCTTGACACCTGCCAAGCTCACACACACACACACACACACACACACACACACACACACACACACACACACACACACACCTGTCTCTCCTCTCCATACTCATCATATTCATCTCCTATTCATATTCACTCCTCTCTGTCCCTTACTTCCCCTTGGTTTTCTTAATCCTGCTTTATCACATCCACTGTTTACTTTCTACACACCCTCATCTCTCTCTCTCTCTCTCTCTCTCTCTCTCTCTCTCTCTCTCTCTCTCTCTCTCTCTCTCTCTCTCTCTCTCTCTCTCTCTCTCTCTCTCATCTCTCTATCAGTCGATCCACACTACGTTTACACCATTCTTCTCTTCCTCTTTTCATCTAAAAATTCTCATCTCTTTCCTCACCCTGTTCCATCTCCCCCCCCCCCCACACACACTTGTCACCAGCTCCTCCTGAGACAATAGGAAGCCACTTAATACCACAAGATTTGATTACGTGAACATGTCGGCTTCCTAGTGGCATCTTGGAGAGGGGGGGACCTGCTGCCTGGGTAACAGCTTCTCCCCCATATCAACCTACCCTGGCTTTGCGCCCTGGTGAGGCCACTCC